CCGTTCGCCTGCCCTCCTCACTCGCTCTCTCTCTCACACACACACACACACACACACACACACAGACACACACAACCGCAGCTCCATTGAGGAACTAGAAAGCCAGCTGGGATTACATGGCTGGAAAGACCAGGGTGAGCTCTGTTTGGATAACACCCTCTCTCTCTCTCTCTCCCTCACACACACACAAACACACACACACAGAAGATGTATGTTGTTGTCAGTGTATGCATGGTGGAGCCTGTCTTATCAGGCGGTTCCCCAAAATTTGGAGTAATGTACTAGATGAGAAGATGTACACAGCAGAGGGGCACATTTTGAAACCTTCATAGATGCATCGACCAACCTTAACAGCCTGATGCAAAAATCAAAAACAAAAAAGTCCAAAATCCGGATGCTGTGTCCAGTAATAAAGGGAATGAGATGTAGCAGCTACAAAGAATTAAAATTGTATGCTTTGGTATTTTGACAATGAACAGCCATAAAATTTCCTTTAAAACAATGAAGCTGGATCAGTGCTCTCAGAGGACTTGAATCATGGGAAGTAAAGTCCAGAGGAAAACTGGAGTTTTTTAGTTGTTATAAGAGGCATTTAGTGCTTTGTGTAAGTGCTGTACAAAAAGAGCTCAAATGACTCCATAATGATGACAATAACTTTCCTTTCTTTGACGGACAGGAAGATGACTCCACTACAGTGGTGTGAGAATAAGCCCTCAAGCTATTACCAACATAAATATGAAACACAACATGAATACTTTTAAGGACCCAACCCTTATCCTCAAACAGACTCTTCTCTTCAAGCTTCTGAAGTAAAATTTAAAATCTTAAAGTTTGTTGCTGAACATTCCCACATAAACCATCAATAATGGATGGATTAATATCTTACCAGCGCTCTACGATGGGCAAACTCTGAAATAGTGACACTGTTTTCTAAGTTACCTCAGACCACGTTTGGCATTTCTGTCCTGCAACTTCTTGTGACTCATCAGGCAAACTGTATATCGGAAATAAGCTGGTATCGGACAATATATCGACCTGGGCGATTTATCGGCCTAGCTCTAATAGGAACGGGTGTTTTTGGTCGCTGTAGGTACAGCGTAACCTCAACACGAAAACATAAAGCTTAATCCTTTAACGTGTTCTAGCATTGAAGGCATACATTCTTTAAAACTTAAGATAAATCTTTTCTATTACTAATTGCTGCCCAATTTCTACAAAAATATTTTGACATTGTCTTATTTGACCTCATTAAATAACTCAGTATTGTGCATTTGAGAGTAAAAGCTCCACTTGGCTCCAGCCGTGAGCAGAAACGGGAAATCTTTCTGAGAACTTTTAACATTTACTTAAGAGGCCCCTGTGTATCTGGACAAGTGTGAGTGGAGAGGCATGCCTGGCATAGAGGGAATGCCAGGGAGTCACTGTGGGAAGCCTGCTGCAAGCACACACACACAAACACTTACACACACTTACTTTCCTACTGCTTTAGTCCTTAGCCCTCACACAAAACCCTAGAAACAATCCTTAAAACCAGCAGAGGAAAAGGGCAGAGTGTCCTTAGACAAACACATATGTTTTCTCCAAATGAACTGGCTCCTAATAGGGGATATGGGTGGAGGCTATTTGTCGGGAGGTGAATAGACTAGTGTGGTCCAGGGTTTAGCCAGGGGAGTTTAGCCTGCACTGACCTCTGAGCTGGAACAAAAAAAGCCATGTTGATTAAGAGCGTCATTTTATTCAGGAGGTGAATCAAAAGAAACAAGCTTGTTAATATGGAAAACCAATTAAGAGGCACAGTGCTTGAGAATCTCCATGAGAGGGAGGGAGGGGACGTTAGAGGGGGAGGAAAAGAGAAGAGGGAGCTGTGCAGACTCTACCAAAGACACCTATTGTTAAAATTAGTACTAAATCACCAGCTCAGGGTTTATATTTAAGTCAGAGTTTAGTATGGAAAGAGAGAGTGAAGAACACACACACATAACACACATGTGTGCTGAGCGTGTGTGAGGCCAAGGGGATGTTGGGAAGAATGGAGGGATGTCACGCTTTGTTTTTCTGCCTGTTGATTCTGAATGTGACCAATTAGTGAAGCAGAGAGACACAGAGTGTGGGAGTGGAGGAGGAGGAGGAGGAGGAGGAAGAGGAGGGGGTCCAATCTCTTTCACCGTGAGAGTCTGTGGCCAGGCTCTGAGTCAGAGAGGGGTGAAAGAAAAAAATGGGGCAGGGTACAACATAATGAACATAATGACAAACAAAAGAACTTTTCAGTCATTTGCGGTCGCTTTGCTCTGACCCCCAACTCAGTTCAATGACTAGATACTGAACTGCTGAAAGGCCAGGATGTTTCATTTTTTAAGGATCTCAGCTAAAAAAGAATTTGTCTACTTTCATATTAAAATAAAACACATTTAAATGATCCTTAATACATGCTCCTCATAACAAAATTAAAACAGATGTGGGCGGTGTAACTGGTATGAACAGTTTGCTATTTGATAAGAAAATCTACTGATCAAATAAGCGATAATGCAGAATGAGGTGTCTTGATGTTGGAAAATAATAGAGTTAAAGGTTTCCACGACGCCAGATATGAATTCTTTCCACCGAGACCACTGTTTTTCTGGATTATGACACTTGAAAGAGCTAACCCTGTTCTAAATAGGGCTATTAGCGGGTATTACCCTCTCTTATCACTGTTATTACATGGACACTTGCCAAACATACAAAAGGAGAGGTTATGTTTACTTAAAGGATAAGGCAAGGGTTATTCTATGTTTTTCCTATTGTCCACAATAGCAACAAAAAGTCCAACTAGTTTGTCTCTCACTATTTCATTCTCTACTCTGTCGGTGGCTTTCAAACCCTAAGCCTATTATTTTATGCTGAAGATGTAAATCTTTAAAAACAGGTCATTGGGTATTAAGTTTTCAATAAACATTACATTACATTTGATGGACTATTTTCAGGGGCGGATTAATACACTTTTGGTGCACTAGTGAGTATTTGGGGCAGCAGGACGGTGAAAGTGGGATTCAGTCAAAGTGTGTGAACATGTCACCCAATACAACAATCGTAGTCGATTTAACAATCGTGCCGCGTGGCTGGCAAACATTTGCAATCTAGCAAGCTAAATTAGCTACCTTAGCTAACTTGTCAACTGATTTGAATGATTTATTTTAACAACAGGGAACAGATTGAATAGTGTAGCATAAAAGTCACTAATGTTAGCAAATGTAGCTGTAGCTAACTAACAACAATTTGCTATGTAATGATATATTAGAGTCATGATACCCAGTACAGAGAGTGACATCACACTCCCTCTGCCTGTGTTGCTCTCGTGGCCTCTCTGTGGTTTGTTTACATAGACAGTCTGCTCCGTGTGCAGTAAAGCGACTGAAACTGCTGCTTTTATCATCTACGTCTGTGAGTTGAGGATTTATTTCGACCAAACCAGAGTTAGAAATTGTTGGAACAGTGAAATGATTAACAAGTTTTGGTGAGTTTCATTTTGTTTCCATCCACTCTGAATGAAGTAACAATGTAACAATGATATGAGAGGTAAAATGACAATTTTTGTCTATGCGAATGCAATTTTACAGCTGTTTCTGTTTAAACAAAGGTCTCTCTCTGTAGGGATCATGTCCATTATGTTTGCAAAATAACAATCTGAGCCTGTTAGAGGGAAAAACAAAAACTTTTAGGGGACGTACTTTGACAGGTGCCTTTGTCCCCAAGTATTAACATTTAGGTTTATTTTGACCAAACCAGCGTTTGTGATTGTTGGAAATGACATGGAAAAACAAACAAAGACGGTTTTAGTGAGTTTAATTTTGTTTCTGTCCCATTGTTTTGATCTAAGTTCCGGGTGTACTCTAGTGCGACACCCAGAGGCAAGTGAATGTCATATGTATAACCTTTAAATCTTCATTTAAACTAAATCTTATCATAAAAGGGCAGAGAGCCACTCCGATTTAAGGTCAAAACTGAAAGGGATGGATGCTTTCTATATCTATTTAGTTTTGGTTCTTATAAACATGAGAATGACATCACTATTACAGTATACATACAAGCTTGTTTGTGTGTGTGTGTACCTGTTGCAGGTCAGCCATGGAGTACAGGTGAATGTGCTGTAGCAGGTATTCTCTGGGGAAGATCCTGTGAAAAGAAAAGAAAATGTTTTAAGGCATCATTGTCTGTGAAGCAAGTGATGGGTTTACTTCCCTCCCACTCCAAAAACTGAGTTATGTCAGTTAAAAGGTAGATAAGATCTGTAAGTATGTTCAGCATATTTTCTTAAATGCCATAACATATCATCCTGCAACTTCAGTCAAAATAATAACCACAGATCCCAGCTTGCTTTTCAAACAAAAGGTCAAGGTAGAATTATTTATCTTTTACAGTCATTGTTCCCATATACAATACTCAGTATACAGAGGAGCTCAATTATGATACTTCAAAGCAATGTACACAATAAAGAATAGAATAAAAATGAATATACGTCTGAGCAAAGCAGGAAATATATATTTGGAAAACTTACAGGTACAAAAAACGCTAACCAGCTGTAAGATTCCAGTTGTGCCCATTAGATAAAGTTCAATGAACGATAATAAAGTACAATTTCACATATAATGATGTAAATTGTTTTTATTACATACAATAAAACTGACTAAATGTATTGCAGATAGTTTAATCACTTTATCTCAAGGAGGGCCTGTTAATTGCAGACATATTGTCTTTTATATTGGGTCCATTCATGTTTTGCACCATCACCAAAAACCACAGACAGTGACACTGTGATGAGCCTGAGACGGCCACTGTGTCCCTGCGTGCTGCCAGCAACCTTGGTGTTAGGTTAATTTCTTCTTCTGGAAGCTAATGATGTAAGCCAAGGTCATTAGCTGTCCGAGCTAGGTGACTGCCTGCCTCAGTAAATATGACTCTGATTACACACAAACTGAATTCACGTTGAAGTTAAAGTTTGTATTCTTCTTTTGTAAGTGAAACCTGTTCCTAATAGTCACCGTGCAGGCCAGTTTCTAAATAAAAGGCTCGGTCTTGTGAGCATATAAAAATGGAACAATGATCACATACTGTAGTTAAATATGAGCATTACACTGATTTAATCATTAACCAGCAGCCTTTGAGTCCACGGTGCTAAAGAAAGTAGTGACATTAATCTAGAGTCAGTAGCATTCCATCGTCTAATATGTGACAAAACACAGACAGGGGAGAGAGTGTGTGTGTGTGTGTGTGTGTGTGTGTTGTGAGGCCTCCTCTCAGACCACTAAGATTGATGGCACCATGTTAAATCCTTTCTAAGCTGTGATGAGTGTCACCAAAACACAAGAATGTGTATCTGTATTCATACGTGTGTATGTGTGTGTGTGTTTGTGTGTGTGTATGTGATCCAGGCACCTAATGTTGATAGGCACCACTGATAAACTTCTCTGTTTGGTATGTTACCAATGGTTACCACATCAGCATTCATAAGACACACACACACCTACACACACACACTCAGCTCCAATAATCAAACACACACAATAATCAAACACACACTGGCTCCTTGTTGATCGTGTAGTCAGTGCCCAGATCAACACACCCTTAAAGTGTGTGTTGATCTTGATAAAAGTGCTTGAGAACGACCACATTCTAGGATTAGATTACAAACAGAAGATACACAGATCCATGCATGTATGCTGACAATATTGGTATTAGACCTGATAGTATTTAATTCCATATTTTATTCCACTATTCTCAGCGCTCTTTTCAGTCCAACAGACACACCTTTCATTAAGATTCGCTATGCGTTATTCATTATCGCTCAGTGTTTCTGAACGTGTACTGAAGGAGGGTCTGAGTAAGTGTGTGTGAACCAGCAGATGTAGGAAGTCCTGCAAATATGTGTGTGTGTGTGTGTGTGTGTGTGTGTGTGTGTGTAGGGGGTGGACAAACACATTACAA